AATTTAAAACCAATCAACTTTAAATACTTGTAAGTAGGAAAATTTTTTTTTTTGCTATATTTCCTCCCAAATATTCGTACAACAGAGAGCTCCAAAAACTACCAATTAAAAATCGTCCACTCATTAACGAGCGCCATCGAAAGCATTGTCAGTTGCAGTGAAAACTATTATATCAATCTTAGATTTCTAAGGCACTGAGGAATCAATAGCTCTGCATCCATCAATAATAGAGTATGTAACAATGACCATTTCAATAATTTCATTTAGAAAACCGTCTGAAAACGCATGCCAATTTGAAATGATATCCGTTCGTTGAATCAATGTTTCATCTAATAATTGTTCACTAAAGTAAAAAAAATTTTCTTTCCATTTTGATAGAGAAGGTTCGAATGTGTTTAAACAACCCATCCACCTACCAAAATACCACGCCAACTAAAAATAACAAATTTTTCTTATATGACTACTAAAAAACCCGAATTAATTAAAGCAGCATTCGTAACGTCGAATGCTTTAAACCTCTCCAAAAATTTTTTCGAGGAAAAAGAAAAATAAACCAGAAGGGGTATAGTGATACAAATTGATAATAGAAAGAAAACGGCTTCAAAGCCCTCCACCAAATCGCTTTATACAGCTGAAAAAACGGCAGGAGCCAACGTATAAATAGATGTTTTCAAAATCTCATAATAAAAGGTGAATAATTCAGCCAAATGGTGGATTGAACAACAAAAATGGGGCAAAGTGTCCAAAACATGTATCAACAGATGTCTTAGCAAGCCCATTTCGTTTTGCTTCGGCAATTTTCATGCCGCCTTGCACTGTACATTTTCCGCATATAATGATAGAGAAATTGGTGCCTCGACCTTACTGTCATATATTAGCAGCAAATTTTTATTCCTACAATTGCAACTGTTTCTATTCAAAAGACGTTAAAAATTCCCTCGTAACTTTTAGTTTTGATAAATCAGATCCGTTATGTTTAAATAAGAACAAAGAACTATGACTAACTTGTTAGTGTTTTACTGAAGAGTGATTTCAATTCTATAAGCATAAACGACACGATTCAACCAATACGCTCAAGCGAATAAACAAAAAGAAACCAAATAAGCATACCCGAACGACTTTTAAGCGTTGTACTGCAATCAATCAAACTAATGAAGTTCAAATGTAAAACTTAATGAAATTATTGGCCTTCCCATCATTCAACTGAAAAAAGACTCCAATATGCAATCTTTTCCGAAAACATCAACTCATTTTACTATTGTAACAAATCAAAAAATTTAAAAAAAGCCTCCAAATATTTCACTGCAACTGACTTATTTGGTGAAGTCAGTAGTAGAATAAGACTCCGGTCTAAAAACCAATAAAACATGTAAAAAAAGCCTGTTTGCTAAAGATTTTAAATTATGAAAAAATAAAGTAATTTAAAGTAAGAATTTCCTATATAAATAAAGTCAAAAAATGACTTGAGTCATTTTTACTTAGCCGTTATAGCAAAAATAATTATAAATAAAAGTAGAAAAATCTGAAGTCACCCAAATAAATGAAGGAGAGAAGGTCAAAAAACAAACTGTCAAAATTACTTGACAATCACAAACAGAAAGAGTAAGACGCTTAATTAGCAGCGGCTCATAAAAACACGCCGTGACCTAAGCCAAGGAAATAAAAGACACACTCAAACTGATGGCTGCATAAAACTGCATTCCAGTCCATCCTGGTGAAATACAAAAGCACATACTCGTCGATATCACATGCAAATACGTATTTTCTACAAAACCTAGTGAACCATTATATGATCTTTGCCAAGTAAACATTAAAAATGCATTGCTCCAGACGACTAGATCACAAAAAATCTCTTAAAGTAAAACGGAAATGACCAATTTTATCAAACAAAAAATGGTAACACTCAAGAGAAGAAGTAATTGAACAAAATATTTTTAACTCTTTTGAATAAACTTTTCTTCAAAAATTGTTTTGTATTTTGTTTAGGGAAAAGCGCCGCATGAAAAGGAACACATAACAGAAAAAATTGTGAAGAAAATCATCAGAATTTAATGCGATAAGAAACGAGAACAAGCAAAAATAGCACTCATTAAATAAGCCAAATTAAAATCCTATAGAAAAATAACAAATCCATAACATTTCTTGATAGTTTTGACATTAAATTAATTAATATAACTATTTTACTTCCTTAGGAAAAGTATCTTTTATGCAAATAAAAGAAAAAAAATGGATTGGTGAAAAATTTGATAACTGAATTAATCATCACTTGCAATAAAACAACCAAAAATATAATAAGAATAAAGGTAAGCGACCTGTCATTAAAATTGATCTGCCTGTGCCGCATTCCGTCTCTCACAGCTTCAAGACCTTCCTTGAATCTCGCCTGCATTTTTCTCGCATATACTGTAATGCCGCCTTCACTCATATATCCATTTGAAACATCTAAAAATCTTCTAATCATAAGTAGCGAAAATAAATCGAAAAAAGTAAGAGATCCCCCGACTTTCACTGCCAGGGAATGTCTATAAAATCCAAAAATCAGAGTGGAAAATTTGCTATAAAATGTCAAAGAAAACGATAGACCATGAGATAAATAGAGAGATAATACGCCCATCACAAAATCCGAACCCCAACTTTGTATACTAACATCCTATGATCTTATAAGTAACATTTAGCCCCTAGAATTTTGCAGATAAAAGCAGCTAAACCACAAAATTTTAAAGACAATTCAAACTTATAGTTCACAAAGTTTTAACTAGAAAAAATTGTTTTTGTGTAACTATATCAGCCAATAGCCGTGACAGATTACCCTCAAGAAAACCTTATAAAGGTTCAACTTTTTATATTTCTCTTTAAATATTCAAGCTTTCCCTTCAGGCAAAAAAATATTTAAGTTAGACCTTATAAAACCGAGCTGCAAAAATTAAAACTTAGGCTTAGCAAACTGGCCGACTAGAAGAACTACAAATGAAATAAAACGAAAAATTGCAAATGGTAATCGCTTCTGCATAAAAACGTTACCACATGGAAGGAAGAAGTATTTTTTTAATCTTGTTCATTTGCCTAATGTCTTAAGGGAACTTAACATCGAATATGGCACTAAAAATAACCTTCTCAACTTATTTTCGCATTCAAATCTACCGACAAACACTGCATGGCACAGCAGCTTCAAAAGTTAACAAAAATTTTCATCAGAAGGTTTGCGCATTTTCCCTTTCAACAACCCTCCACAAAAGAAAAGCCAAGAAGAGTGCCCAAGAAGCAAAGCATAAAAACGAAGCAACCCTTATCAATCAAATTAAAAAATGCTTTATTAGATCCCTCACAGAAAGCCCTTAGTCGGAGGCAACATATTCCGCCAAACTTTTGATGCGTTCAAAGCCTTACAAAATAAATTTTAAAAAACTGAACAACGATAACACAATTTTTTGCACGATAATGATATGTAAAGTTGCACAGCCCAACCCGTGAAGCAAAATCTTAAGCCAAGAGAAATTAATTCCTGTTATTAAAAAGAAAATTTCTGATTATGGCCAGAAATAAAGCAAAAAGTGTAAATGATATTATGATATTTAATAAGCAGAGATAACACGGTTGACCAGCCTATAAATATGCTCTCAACTACGTTGGCTAACGTAATTCTCAGTTATAAATTCATAAAAATTGAATAGATTTAGTCTCTAGATACCTTGCGCATTCAAAGCCTTTAATGGAAAGATCTTAATTCACACGGAATACAAAAGAAAGGAAACTGCATATTATAGCATTCAATAGCACATATTCAAAAATTTTTGGATTTTTATTCATCTCTATTCCCAAATTTTCCTGCTCATAAACAACATAGTTCTCCCAGTGGTGAGAAAACTACCAGCTTATCAAAAATATATACGAACAATTTTCAAATGTAAGACTTGAACCTAATTTATCTGGAGCGAAAAAGCAAACCGATAATTGATAGGTCAGCCACGTTATTTTCGGAAGGGAAAAGCGGATCCCCGTCAGAGAGGTAGCCAGCGCCAAATCCGCGTGTGTTGCAACGAACTGTGCCAGAAAGATTTAATGAATCTTCACTGGTTGAGCTGCCGGGAAATAAAAATTTTTCGTTTGCTAAAAAAGATTTACCTATTTCAAAGCGCTTGAGTATAAAATTCTAATAAGGATAAATCAGAAGGGTTTTTGAGCATCGTTACAGATCACAGAAGAAAACGGGAAATTAGCAAGGCAGAAAAGAAAAAACAGTCTTGAAACTAATGCAAGTATAAGTTCAGTAAAAGTACTTAAAAAAAACTAAAAATAAAAACAAACAACAAGCAAATAGAACACCTTAAGAAAGAGCTAGTTCAACTTGAAAAACTTCCTTACGTTAAAGAAAATTTGTAGAAAACCGCATCACAGTGCACTAAATAAAGAATATAATAAACAAAGTGGAGGTGTAAAAACTGAAGTGTGCCTCGCCCACTGTATTAAGAATTAGGAAGTACAAAAGACCCAACACCTGTTACGGGTTGTAAATAAAATTATCATCTGGATGCAAAAGCCCACACTACTCCACATCAACTTACAATGCCTCACTTAGAACAACTGTCTTTTTACCTACAAAATAATAGCGTAAAAGTAAAGCTTTAATCCTGAATAGGATTATGCATTTCGCATTCATAGGGAATTAAATCTTGCGGAAGTTTCATATTCAAATGAATTTATGCTACAATTGATATTTCTTCTTAAAAAAAAAAGATAGCAAATGACCTCCTACTTATCTAACTGGTAAGAAACTAGCAAATATTGAATAAAAAAACTTACTTGTTCTGTTCTGCTCGTAAACTTCAAGTTGTTTCTCGGGTTTCACATTTCTCAAAAAGTCTGAGTACGAAGGAGGCGTTCGTGTAGTTATCGGTTTCATCGGACTGACATTCTCAAGTCTCAGTTGACCATTCGAACTTAGCGCTGTAGTAGTTACTGAGCAGTTCGGATCAAACGTTGTCTCCAAGTGACTATTTGTTCGCAATGGCACAGGTCTGTAGCAAAAAATTTTTAATAACAGCAGAAAACGAGTAAAGAAAAGAACTTTTTCATTCAAACTTTTTGAACCACTTAAATGTAATACAAAAATTTATGTAATTAAAAACTATTTGGCCCCCAATATCAAAGACAAAATCAGATTATTCTTTTTTTTCGTCCACCAACAGTGTATCTCATCTCCGCAAGTTGGCATTTTCGCTTATAAATTTTAAAAAGAAAAATTTTTAATCAAAAAATATTCGAATGAATAACTGCGTCACCTATGAAGCAAATAACTGTAATATCTCCACAAAACTCTTGACTGAAACTGTAATACATTTTGTAACTTTATTTTGTAACTTCAGCGAATATTTGACAATTGTTTTTTACACTGACTCACTTCCTATTTGAATCTCTAGAAGTCGGATTCTAGAGAAATAAAATTAATTTTTCAGAATTAAAAAACAGAAACAAATTATCAAGATTTACAAAGTGCTTTCATTAAAAATTATAGCTGACTGTCTTCAACTCCTGAAAACAACTTACGGTGGTTTCGGATGTTCAATTTCCTTTTTTCCACAACCTGTTATTTGTTTAGCATCCCCACTTGGTTTATAAATAACGCTTACACTATCTGAATCTCTACTTCCTGAAGTTGTTGATGCATCGCTCTGATTACCAGTTCCTAAATAACAAGCGATTTTAATTAATAAGCCTAGGAAATGGAAACCCCTTTCAAAAAACAATGAAAATCGCACAGAAAAATTGAAAGCTGGATTGAAAAATTACCATTTGTATGCGGGCTAACAACACGAGGACTTCGATGACTTAACATAGGGCTGACAACACCAATTGCAGGGCTTTGTGCTACATTGGGCATTTTTACCAACGGTAGCATTACAAGTGATGTTGACGGTAACTGTCCACTATCAGATTGTGTTTCTTCCGAAGACTTTAGTTTTGTATCTGCATCTGCACAATCTTGAGATTTGCTTAATTGCTGCTGACTCAACTCTTCTGTTACAAACAGTTTTTTCGATTTATCCAAAGTACCTTCTAATGCCATTTTTGAAGCCGAAATGCCTTTAACAGCAAGAATCGGCTTCGATTCCTAAAATTAACAAATACTTGAAAAAATCAAAGTTTAAAAACCATTCATCTGTAATAACTTTGCTCAAAAGGAAATCTAATATTTTACCGAGGGGCTAGTAGGAGGTGTCCCGGTTGGTAGAATCTTTGGATCCAGAGATTTAGTATTCGGAATACTTGCTTTCATTTCGCTGCAGTTCAGCGATGAAGTCTTCGATGATGCAGAATTCATACTCACCGATGAAGATTCTGCAGATGAAGTATGTGAAGAACTCCCAAGTGGTTCGAATGAAGAATTTTCGCTGTAGTTTTTCGAGAGCCTTGAAACGGAAAAAAATAAGTAACTTTCCATTGGTAAATCCAGAAACGAAAACCAAAACCGGAATTATGAATAAAAATTCCTTGTAGCAAAAAAATTAAAAATCTTTTATTCTTTACAAATGTGGGTACCTTTTATCACTAAAGTCGTCAAGTAGCACTTCATTCCTAGTACCCTCATTTGAAAACTGCAGTTTCACTGACTTATGCTTAACTGACGTCAGCGGATCAGTATGTTGCACTGTGGAACATGTTATACGCCGTGTCGACAACTAAATTTTATACGAATAAATCAGTAAAAACAGGAACACTACAAACTTTCCCTATTACGTAATACTCTAAACGAAAAATAATTATAAATACAATTTTTTTCACTAGAAAGCCAAAGCTCCATACTCAAAATGACAAATTACCATAAAACTGGCAAAATTTGATTAACGATTCAAAGAATGTCAAAAAGTTTATATAAACAAAAAATAAGAAAATTGTAAAAATTCTGGAGAAAACACAAAATTGTAGAATCAAAACAAAATAAAAATTTTCTTGATGATATCCTACCCAACGCATAAAACCGCATATTATTTATTGATAATCAACCAGCTATTTTTTAAAGTGAAAAACGTATACATCGTGAAAGTTGATCAGATACAAGGAATAAGAAAGAAAAACTTTAAAAAAAACATGCTCGGCACAAAGCAGATCCCCTTAGCTACGAAATACGATTCAACTCGTTCAAATAGCTAAATAGCGCGCTTTTATAACTATGAATATTAACAAGTCATTTTGAAAACAATGAATGATCAGTATTAGAAATAGTTAGTGGTGAACTTGTAAAAAACGACCACACCAAGTAAACTACAAAAGAAGACATTTGCGATTTTTTAGCGGTTACTCATTATTCCCCAAAATCCATATTTTCAGAATAGCCTCCATCCAGAAAATTATTTTTGACAATGGCTACTTAAACAGAAAATAATTCTAAAGTTACTATTTTTCAGAAATTGGGTTTTAATAAACCAAACAAACATAGCTCAATAAACTCACATTTCCATTTGAAAATCCCAAAAGCTTCTTTGGAGCCTTCAATCCACTTGCTTTTGGTTTCGCCAGTTTAGACAAGTTGGCAGCCGGATCATTCGTCCTAACACTTTTAGCTGGCAGCACTGTAGAGACATTCGACTTTTTTTCCTTGAAAATTTCAGCACTGTTATGTTGGAAAAAGTGGCCCACCATGTAAGAACAAGAAGCGTGAACAAAACCTTTCAAATGATAGAAAAAAAATAACGCGATGAAACAAATTGGGGTTGACAACTGTCATAAAAAAGTTCCCCCTTTTTCGGATTATCAATTGAGCTTGAAAATTTTTTTCCGAACCTTGCTTTACAGTGAAGTAACAAAATGGAAAACTAACATAAAAAGGAACCCTGGCAGCCGAAAGAGAGAATGTTTAAAACGTGGAAATACATTTTAACTTGAAAATAACAGATTGGCGGTATTCCCCCATCTTGACAATACTAAACTGAGGCTTCACCTTATCCTTACTTCCGGCAAAAAGTTTGATTTTAAGCATATTTGGAGAACTTGTCAGGCTACTGCTTGACTGTCTAACCGCTGATGCCGAAGGCGTTAATGTCAGAGATGGTATAGATGTATAAGTACCCGAACTAGCTACTGAGCTACTACGTGAGGATGGCCTCGACACGACATTATTGTTCACGCTAAAAAAAAAAGTTACCGATCTGTGTCTACACTTCGACAATTTTTAAAGTACATGGAATTCTTTTGCAGAAAATCTATTGTTCTTTTCACTAAAATTTATAAGATCTCAATCATTCAATTCAAAAAGAAGGCACTACTGAAAGACAAAAGAGAAGAGAATTCTGCAAAATGGTTTTACCTAGAACTCCTTGCTGACGCTGGAGGCTGAATTCTAGAAGTTGGAGGTCTTAGTGCAGAAGCTCTATTTACCGGGAGTTTAGAATGAGGTGCAGGAGAAGGCGGGTTCTCTAAAAATAAACTACTAGTTGAAATAGCTGAAAAACAATGTTACAATCTTTTAACAGATGTTCAAAACAGAAAAAATGGTACGGGAAAAGGTGAGGATGCACTCAAATTAGTTTATCTTACATTACTTACACAACTACAATACTTCTGTAGTCATAATAGTGTAAATGTTTTGAAACAAGAAACCCAGCTAAGAATCTTGAAGGCTCGAAACAACTTTACAACATATAAAAAGGCATTACTTTAAAAGGCAAAAAAAATTAAGCAGAATTTAAATTTATAGTTCCATTGAAAAAGCAATTTCAACTAGGAATTTTTGGCAATAAACAAATCAGACAGAATTGAAGGAGTATTCTGTAGCTGTGAACAACAGCTTATACTTCCCTCTAAACAAACAATACAATAAAGCAGAAGGAAGAATTCCTTCTCAATAGTTTTCTGAATCAGTCCACGACTCCAAAAAATAAAAACCTTTGTTGAAAGTCACAAACCTTGGTTCCATCATACCTTCCCAGAAAATTATAATTAAACCTCCACAAAAAAAACTAGCTTAAGTTAGCGGTCAAAGTTTAAAACTTTAATACTTTGTTTTCTTTGCCAATTTAAACTTCTAAAAATTTTAATTTCCCAACATAAAAACACGTTAGAGACATTCTCACACCACAAGCAAAACAGAATTAGACAAGAAAGTTGAGAAGTAGCAGCAAAATTTGTTCCAGTTTTTATTTAAAAACGTTTTGCATAAAAACTTAAAATATGCATACGACCAAACTCTGGCAAAAAAGTCAAAAACCGATTCGTTAGAAGCAAAGGAAGCGTCTGAACTCGACAGCAACAAGATTGCTTCACAAAGCTTACGTCTCAGTAAATTAAAACTTCATTCCTTTAGTGCACAAATTGGCTCCACTATAAACTTTATTTCCATCCAGAACCTCATTTATTTAAATACAAAACCTGGTTTGAAACTAAAAATGAACTTTATTTAAACAGGTCCTCACCCAATATTCTCAAAAATGCTTGGTAAACTGAGAACATCTAACTGAAGACTGCTGTATCATAATATAAACACTTCCTCAAGCACTGTTACCCGTTTAACCACAATTCTTATGTTCATCAATCAAACACTTTCTAAAAAAACGACTAAAAAAGTAAAATTTCCCTAATTT